AATAATAATAATAATAAATGTTGCCAGATTGCAGCCACCAGAAATCAGAAGTGACGCCAGTGATGCAGTGGCCATTTTTTATTATTAAAGGCTTCTCCCTGCTCTTGCCCCAGTCCTCTTGCTCCCAAAGAGTTTTCCAGGGCAAAAAGGAGTCCTAGTGAGCCTCAGAACCTGGAAGGAGGGAGACAGCAAACTTCTAATTACCTCAACCCTCAATAAAATCTATTGCTATATCTGTTGAAATGCTCCAGGCATTCAATCTGGATCACATGGAGCCAAGTTGCACCAACAGGACTTTGGCCTCTGTTAAGAACAATAAGGCATGGTATTGGAAACTCACTCTTTGGATATGCATCAAGGAATAAGATGGATAACACAATATATATCCACCTTTCAACATTTAAACTCTGTGTAATTAGGTTTTTTAAAAAGCTTCATTGGCGTAACAGCCACAGCCAGGCTTTCAAATTTTCATCAATAGCTTTCAGGTCTAGAAAAAACAGTATGCACGGCATGTGGTTTTAGAATTAAAGTTCCAGCACAGAATTAAAGCCTTCACATCCTTTAAAATCAAAGCATCCCTTGACAACCCTCAATAAAATCTATTCCTATATCTGCAGCACCACCTAGTGGGAAATGTAACAAGACCTGAAAGAGAGCTGTTGAGAAATTACCCTGAGCTTTCATTTCTGCTTGATCAATGACCCAACACCACCAATGTGTTAAGTTCATAAAAAGTTTAGAAAACAGTCCTTCCTTAACTCATTACACAATAACAGCTCTGACCCGGTGGTGCCTTGTCTTGCTGTTAACATGTCATCAATCTGCTTCTGAATTACAGTGACCATATGAATGAATGGGACCTTCTAAAAGGTCCTATTATTAACAGCCCAGCCCAGGTTTTACAGGCTAAAGGGCATGGCTTCCTTTATTAAATCAATTCACTTCATATTGGGCTTTCCTCTTTTCCTATTTTACACTTGTTCCTTAATCTGAAAGAAAAAGTCCAAACCTGCAAAAAAGGCTGGTAGAAAAAAGGAAACTCAAATATATTTTGTGGATAATCTGGTCACTGCGTGATTAAATCACAAAAATACACATTTTTGATTCAGGTTTACTATAATTATTTGTCACCAAGTTGATTTCAATTTATGGTGACCCTCCCAGAGTTTTCTGCATACGAAGTTCTCAGATATGGTTTACCAGTCACTCCTTTTGTAATATTTTATTGTGCTTTTTATGCTCTTATATTCCGAATTAAATTCTAACTTTCAAAATTGTTTGGGCTATGCTCATTTTTAGAACTGCTTTGTAGAATATTGATTTACTCTTCTGCACAATAATACAGTCTCTCAGAACATACAGCAGCAGCAAACCTTGGTGCTGTAATCAGCAGAAGGCATGGGAAGGACTTATTTCAATAATTCATTCGAGGTTGTTCTTTGGTACAGGAAAATCTTTAATCATTTCCTCACAGGCAGAGATGTGCTCCACCTTTATTCCTTTTAGAAGTTAACAGCCCAAGCGACTGTCAAGGACAAGAGTCAAGAGGATCTTCAAATAGTAAGTTATCATAGAATTATAAACTGGAATTATGAATTTCCAAACTTGTGTGGATCTAAATCTTTATCCAGAAAGCTACATTTGGGAGAATCACAGGTTTTATTGATGGCAAAGAAGCCCAAGAGAGCCCTAAGACAAAAGAATAGGATACATTTTTCTACATAATTTTGTTGGAAGTCTTAGCATGAACAGAAAAGCACAGTTCCCAAACAGACCACAATTTATCCGGAAATAAGTCACATACTGTACATCCTTTCTCTCAGTCCCTGTCTCAATTGCCTGTATCTTTTACTTCGGATATACAAGAGTAACAAATCTAATCTTCAGAGAGGTATATATGACAGCCAAAAGACACAAGCATTCAAAGCAGAAGTTTCATTATGCCTAGATTCATTAGTCTTCGACCTTCCATGTATCTAATATATATGGGCCAACCTGCATACTGAGTTCCACATGATCTTTAAAACAATGGGTTCTGTGGGAAACATTATAAACCAACCATTTTTATTTGGCACAAGCTATTTCACAAGATTGCTACCTCCTACTTTACAATGCTTTGCTTCTAAAGACTAAAATGATTTAAAACACAGACACACACTTTGCTTAGTCATTTATTTTGAAGAAAAACAGGTGCTTAGGGTCCTGATGGACATTAGGAACTTGATAGGCACCTCCTCAAATAAAAGTAACCAATATACATTCGGCTTTTAAAAAGCATGTTCCATGAGAAGTCTCCAATTAAGTGGCTTCTCCAACAGAACAGCAGCCAGCCACTTTGGTTCAATTCCAGTGGAACTCAACACATGCTGGAGTTGAACCAAAACAGAGTGACCTTATCTGCACCTAAAAAAAGAGTAGCCCCTGACAGAGACTCAGAAAGATACAGGGAGGAATGTTCTCAGGGCAGGCTAGTTTACTCTAGCAAACATGTCACCTGATTGCCAACTTTAGCAGTAAACCAGCTCATCCCTGCAGAGGATGAAAAAGTGGGCTAAATGCCCATGCAGTCACCGATACAGGTCCGCATAGTCAACGCTATGGTTTTTCCAGTAGCGATGTATGGAAGTGAGAGCTGGACCATAAAGCAGGCTGGCTGCTGAAGAACTGATGCTTTTGAATTGTGATGTTGGAGGAGGCTCTTGAGAGTCCCCTGGACTGCAAAGAGAACAAACCTATCCATTCTGAAGGAAATCAACCCTGAGTGCTCACTGGAAGGACAGATCATGATGCTGAAGCTCCAATACTTTGGCCATCTCATAAGAAGAGAAGACTCCCTGGAAAAGACCCTGATGTTAGGAAAGTGTGAGGGCAAGAGGAGAAGGGGACGACAGAGGATGAGATGGTTGGACAGTGTCACTGAAGCTACCAACATGAATTTGACCCAACTCCGGGAGGCAGTGGAAAACAGGAGGGCCTGGCGTGCTCTGGTCCATGGGGTCACGAAGAGTCGGGCACGACTTAATGACTAAACAACAATAGTCACTCTTATATCTAAATATATTAGGGCAAATAAGTAGATAACAATTGCTTTTGAGGTTAGTTCTGAAGGAAATTAAGAACATACTCTGGTGCAAACTTATCCAGTGTCTTGAAGAGCTCATTCTTCACCGATAAGTTTTCCACAATTGCCTCCACTACAAGGTCAGTACTGTGTACTACAGAGACTGGATCTGTGCTTGTGGTCAAGTTCTTTAACGTTTTTTCAATGAACTCCGCACCAGCCTGGGAAGTTGGAGAAATAACAGAACCTGATAAACACTTTTTAAATTGCATTTTGTATATTTTAACCACATGTTTTATGAACTGACTGTACATTTTTAAACTGCATTTTGTATATTTTAGCCACATAATATGTTTTATGAGCTGGTCACCTGACCATAATAAATAAATTCAAAGAACGTGGTCATAGATTTTTATTTTTTGGTCATAAGAAGTATTCTCCCTTCAGCTGCAATGTTTCAACAACCAAAACAATAACTTCTGTAAATATCAGGATTCTCTGATAGCTATGTGTGAATGCCTGCCCTCTTTATACCACTGCTCCACATTCAACAAGTTAATATTACATTAGTAAAGTAAATTAGCCTTTTGTTTCTGTTCATGGGGTATTCTTGGCAAAGATACTGGAGTGGCTTGCCAATTCCTACTCCAGGTGGATTGTGTTTAGTCGGAACTCTCTCCACTATGCTATGGGGTCACGAAGAGTCGGACACAACTAAACAACAACAAAGTAAATTAACCCAAAGAAAAGCAAACTACATTATTAACCTAGAAACACTGTTGCATCTCATTCTCATGATAGAATATATTCCCCAATTTCTGTTCTCTAGGTATAACTCCAATAACAAAAACACAAAGCATAGATTTCTACTCTTCATTAATCTCAGCTCAACTCTGCAGAATCTTTTCTAGTGGTCTGCCCTGACATGGGTGCTGCTGAAGAATTCCAGGACCTACAAGTGGAAATCCCACCTACCTCCAGGTTAGAGTTCCAGAGACACTACTAGTGACACACCTCAATATGAGTTCTAATGCCCAGTCCAATCCAATCCAGTCCAACCCAAAGCATCTCTTTTAACATACACACATCTAGCAAGTGGTTATGTGGGAAAAAAAGCATGGCCTGTCCAATGGTTTTTAAATCAAGTATTTATGGTGTAATGTTTTTAATGTATTTAGCTCAGGTTTTGTCTTTATTTTCATTTATATTTTCGTTTTACTGCAACCCACAAACCATTTTATTTTTTCACTCTTTTGTGCTTCTGAGGGAATGGTCAAATAAGACAAACAACCACAAGCTTGTCTAAGGGTGCAGCCTGCAAAAAAAAATGCAGAAAATGCTATAAGAATGAGATGGACTGATTTGCATTTTTTCCTGTTGATGTAAAAGCAAATACTCATTAACTTGGAGTTTTCCTCCCCTCAATTTATAGTTTTGGCCTCCACTGAACAGGCTTCTCTCTCTCTCTCTTTAAACACTGGATCCATTCAAATTGGTGCAGGTGAAGAAGCAGTGCAGAAAACTGTGATATTTTGCTTTCTCCTGTTCCTCTTTAGGATCATTTCTTCTTCTTCTTTTTTAACAGTTTTGTGCCAGTGCCATTACACTTGGGCACCAAGGCCGGGGGGGCGGGGGCGGGGGGAGAGAGAAGAAATATAGAACAAGAGGAGGAAACAAGATGAGGAAATTGCCATTCTGCCTCCTTTTTTACAGCTTATTAAGTAGTTCTTTTGTAGCTATGGTTTCTGAAAGGCTTTAGGAGAGACACATTAACAAGCTGCAAATAAGGCTTTTAGCTAGTTTCTTCCTCTCCCTGTATGGAAGATAGATGCAAGGCTTTTTAAAATTCTCACAGCAACCTTTTGCACAAATAGAACGTTGAAAAATGATCCATGCACAGACATTTTCTTTTATTTGAAAGCTGCCATAGCTGACCATGGAGCTGAGAGAGGTGCATAAACTTGTTAACTCACAGTCTGTCTAGGCATTAAAGATCAAAAGAAACAAATAAAACAAGTTTGTCATATTGAACCACTGCCATTCCCATCATTTATGAATATTAAGATATACCTCTGGTTTGTCTGCAAACTTTTTCTTTGTCAATCTTTTCAGACTATCTTCAATTCCTTTCTTGGAGTTGTTTAGTATTTCTTCTGTCTGATCCACTAGTATCACTGTGTGGCCAGTGGCTGCAGCAATCTATTGAGAAAAAGAAGGTAAGGAAAACATAAGGCCAAAGTGGTCAGCTGGTATGGAAGAAAAAACACTTCAAAGAAGCAAGATGGGGGAAAGGAACCCTTTAAAAAAAGATTTGTGTAACAAGTCTGAATACATTTCTAGCCTTTACCACAATTATATTCCACCTTTTCACCAAGAGGGATAGTATGGCATGCATTTCCTGCTCTCATGGTATTCTCACAGTAAATCTGTGAGGTTCTGTTAAGAGATTATGGTTGATTCCCAATCATGCAGTCAGTTTAATGGCTGCGTGTGAATTCAGACATGATTTTCCTCAGCCCTCTTCCACTACACCACATCACTTGCTGGTTTAAGTATGAGTCTCAAACACTGTCCCTAAAAAGCTCAAGAAATAACCTGGTATGGTTCAGAAGCTGCCAAGTTGGATAAAGAGCTCCTTCTGGCTCCTCAGCATCAGACACTTTCTCCTGAGGTGGATCTAAACAAAAGGCATCCATGACTGAACACAAGTGTTTATGAATGCAGCGGCAGGCGGGTTCAGGAAGCTGCATAGGACCCTGATGAATATTAGAAGCTTGACGCGTTTATTTTCTTTCAAAATGAAAGTAGTCAATGTACACATCGTTTTCAAAATACATGTTTAATCTAACATACCATTCAGTCTGATATAAGTGCCAAAGAACCAGGTCAATTCATGGGCTGGTCCCATAAATAAAGAGTTTTTAAAAAATTAAGAAAGCCCTAGAAAAACATAAGGGAAGGAGGATATTTCCAGGTACACATATATATGTTTTCTTTGAACTCCAGAATATTTCAAATTATCTCAACCAATTTTAGCTTCTATTTTGTATCTGATTCAACTTTCCTTTTACTAGAATCTGAAGATGAAAGTGAATGCACCAAAAAATGATCCCGGAAGACTGGACTCAAAAAGCTTTCAACTCAAACCAAATGATGTTTCTGTATCATCAAGAAGATTATCTCTCTTCTCTCTACTATTAGGCAAACAGTATTTATGAAATCAAAAGATCTCTGTAAGTCTACAAATGTCATGATCCTGATTAGGGACAAGAATTAAAGCAACCTATGCAGATAATTGGTTGTCATAATACCCTGACTTATTTTTAGTCCTGGGAAAGAAACAAAATGGAATTGTGCTCATAATAATTTCATAATCTTAGAACTGCACAGCTAGAAGGGACCTTGCAGATCATCAGGTTCAGCCCTTGTCAAGGAGGCACAGTGGGGAATTGAACTCCCAACATCTCTCTCTGCAGCTAGATACCTAAACCACTGAGCTATCCAGTAGTTCTGATGCCTGAAGACAGAACACCAAGCATTTCCAGAGATGTTAAGGGACAATTTTGCTGCAAACAGAAGATAAAATATCTCAGCCAACATTCTGGAAGAATGACCCTACATGAATTACCATTGTAAAAGGCAGTCAGCAAGAATCACTTTAGGGCTTTGAACCTTCATCTACTACAGCCACACCTATTTTCTGTCTGCAAGAAGCTTTCAATAAAGGCAGCTGACTTTTAATTCTGCCTTTCAAGAAATCTCTTTTGCAACACTACTCATGTCATAAGACCAGCCAGTGACAAAAAAATTCTTTGAAACAACGAAGTTTTCATGTAAGCTAGAAGGGCTCTATAATTCTTAGAAGATGTTAATGAGAATTATGCTGTGAAAATCATACTGAAAAGATTTGCTAAAATTATTATGTGCTGCATCCAAATATGGCAGCCCTAGTAGAGTTTTAAAGGTTTGTGAGGTATTTAAAGAGTGGTTTTGAGTTATTTAAGGAATGGTTTTATCATCAGCCAAATGGGACATGGTGGCGCTGCGGGCTAAACCTCAGAAGCCTGTGCTGCAGGGTCAGAAGATCAGCAGTCGTAAGATCAAATCCATGTGACGGAGTGAGCTCCCGCTGCTTTGTCCCAGCTCCTTGCCAAGCTAGCAGTTCGAAAGCATGCAAATGCGAGTAGATAAATAGGTACCACCTCGGTGGGAAGGTAAAACGGCGTTCCCTAGTCACGCTGGCCACGTGGCAACGGAAACTGTCTTTGGACAAGCGCTGGCTCTACGGCTTAAGCCAGGATGAGAACCACCCCTTAGAGTTGGACACGACTGGACTAAAAATGTCAAGGGGAACCTTTACCTTTACCTTTATCATCAGCCAACCCCCAATCAGTTTCAATGATTGATCAGGGAGTTGAACGCAGGTCTCCTAAATTCTAATCCATCCAATCTACTATGCCACAAAACTGCCATAAATATCGCAAGTTAGCATAACCCAGCTGGACAGTAGTGCCTTGCAAGATGGGTGCTTCGTTTAACGATGAATCCGCATTATGATGAGGTTTTTGCGATCGCAAAACGACGTTTTGAATGGGGGAATTTCGCTGCGCTATGATCAGTTCCCTGTTTCGGGAACCAATTTTCGCTTCCCGACTATCAAAACAGCTGATCGTTGGGTTTTCAAAATGGCCGCTGGATGCTCAAAATGGCTCCCCGCTGTGTTTAGGAGCCATTTTTCGCTGCACAAGCACCTGAAAATGGCCGCCCCTATGGAGGATCTTCGCTAGACTGTGAGTTCTTAGCCGATTGGAACGCATTAACCAGGTTTTAATGCGTTTTAATGGCTTTTTAATTTTCACTTTACGACGTTTTCATTCTACAGCGATTTCGCTGGAACGAATTAACGTCGTAATGCGAGGCACCACTGTAGTTGTTTTGTACGGTACCTAAAAGGCTGTCTAAGCAAAGTGTCTCTGGGAAAATTAAAGGTTATTTGAGTCCTGCCTGTCATCAATCACACTTTCAAAAGAGACAATGCATTCTGTTTCAGGCCACATCTACTTTTCTTGTCACCAATGAACATTTAAATTCACATAAATAAAAATTGTAACAACACCTTACATCTTTTTTGCTGAGCTTAATAACTTTGGAGAGTTCTGAAGTCAACAACGCTCTGGCAGGACTGTACCATGAGATTACTCACCTGTGCATGTGTTTCTGCTATGCCAAGTCAAAATCCCTGCTGTGAACAGCCAACTTGCCCTTGTGTAAGAAGGTTCCATATACCTTTCCACACAAGTGCCACAAACAGACCCTAATCCATTAATATTTCATGGGCAATTATAGATTCAACGTGCCCGATACCACTTCCTACCTGAACCAGTTTACGATCTGTCCGTTTAGTGATAAAAGATGTCCCATCTTCTACAGTTTCAGTGCTGAGTGGTCTGCTATAGGATCGCTCATCAATTACAATATGCACATGCTAAATTACTTCTGAGTAATCCTTATTTGAAAACTGCAAGAAAACATTTTAATAGGGGGAAAACAGGCTGGTTACTAGACCACTTGGAGATCTCTTGCACTGTCTACAGCAGCGGTCCCCAACCTTTTTGGGAGCGTGGAACGTTTGCAGGGTGCGGGCTTCGTGGACGGATCAGTTGGTGGGCAGTGCATCCCCGTGCCTGCGGGTGGGTGTGTCACGCTCATGGAGGGGTGTGTCACACTCATGGAGGGGCATGTCACGCTTGCGGAGGGATGTGTCACGCTTGCACGCATGCGCATGAGCACAACACGGCCACCTGCAAGCGCGACACGTCAAAATCTCAAAATCTGTCTGGCTTCTAATTTCAGCCCAACTGGGAGTGGGAACAGCAGCAGCAGCACCTACTTGGCGAGCGTGGGGCTTCCTCATCAGGGGCTTCCAGAAGCGCCCTCCTTGAGAGTTGTCTCCCCAGTTCTGGAAGGCACAGGAGCAACTCCGCCGCCTCGCGGGGCACTCTGACTGTACCAGATGCACTAGGAGGGGCTTACCCTTCTACAGCGCAAACTGGTGTTGCAATGGTTTTCATGGCAATTTCAGAAAGGACTTGCATTTGGGGGAAATAGCACACTGTACCTTTAACAGGCATCTCCCTCCTAATTGTGAGAGTCTGATTCAGCCAGCCTAAGGCCAACCTAGCTAGTTAGGATTGTGCCCTAAGTCAGGACAAGAAAAAGAAAGATAGATTTATTTTAGTGCTAACGTTTTCTGAATTTGGACCAGGTTTCTGTGACATAAATAGTGCTTTAAATGGCAATTAGTTCTCCAACATCTTCTAATGTTCCATTCTGGACTCTTGACCTAAAAAGGAGTATGTAAATAGCTCCACATCATTAACTAATATAGTTAATGGATGCTCATTTGGAGATACTGCTTATCATTTATGGGCTTATAAGAAAAAACAAAAACAAAACAGCCCGACAGCAGCCCATGCAGAAGTATTTATGATCCACAAGACAAGACTTTTATTTCACTCTTATAAGCAGCCTTAAGTTGGGCTTAAGAGTGTGAGAGATATTTAAATAACTATTGACATACCGCTGAGGACATAATGAGTGAAGGTGTCACATGACCTCTGAGGTCACATGATTGTTGGCACAACAGTGCTCTAAGTTCCTGACAGTTGGTCTTTGCCCATTTGCTGCTTTCCTGCCTCAACAACCATTGGGAGCAGTTAGAGAGACCTTGGCTTTTCAAAATTACATCTACCTTTCATCCAGGCTTAACTGTGGACTTTCTCAGCCATTCAGGTTCATAGTTTGTAGAGATGTACTCTGTATCAACAGACAGGATTGCTTCCTGTTTTATTTCATCTCTAGCATTCATTAGATTGTATTCAGTTTATCTCCTTCCTTAGTAACCATAATTAGAAAAAAAGTTTTTGTTTATGTTCAGAAATGAACAACAGACCTCTTTACGTATTGTTTCCAAGTCTGAAGGGTTCCAAAGATTATTGT